GAGAGAGTATTAATACGTTTGTTTCCGATTTAATTCCAATCTTTTTTACTACCTTTGACGTTTTTGTTCTATCGCATTATCTCCGCGCGTGACTCCTTAAATTCCGCCGAGCTGAGGTCGCATTAGCTACTGTGTTTTCCAAGCAGTAACAACTCGCTGAGATCTCAGATATCCTCTGATGTCCTCATTCATGGCTGAATCTGAGCCTTCGATTAATATTCCTTCCCTCCTTACCTTCGCCGTTGTCTCGTTCTTCGTTTTTCGGTGGTTTTTCTCCTCACGCTCGGCGTCCCAAGATGACAGTAATGCGCACGGAGGGAGAAACCGAGCTCAGACAGTCGATCCAGTACAGCTAGACCATCTAGCTCAAATGTTCCCTCAGCTTACACGGAGAGAACTTATGTGGGATTTACAGCGGAATGGCGGAAGCGTGGCGGCCACAACAGAGCGGATCTTAACGGGAAGAGGATTAGAGACGGTGAGTTGGAATCAATCGCCTAGCCCTGATTGTGTGTCTGCTATGTATACAACCCTGCTAACGTGCGGTTTATCACTCTTCTGTAGCCTCCTCCTACGTTCCAACCTCAGATTCCAGCCACCTCAACACCCACAGTTGAATCCACATCTACGGCCGCAGAGCAGGTAGCAAAACAAGTATCGACCAACCTCATTGCACGATATAACCTTCAGTCCAAGATAGATAATGAATCTACGGAAGGATCTGGAACTGGTACTGTTTCTAGTGATTCCACAATACTTCGACAAGGAAGTGCCTGGTCGCGTGACAAGGAAGAGAGACAGAGACTCATGCAGAAACGACGGGACGAAATGATTCTTACCGCCAGGAGAAAAATGCTAGAGAAAGATAGGGCTGCGAAACAAGAGCAGCAGCAATAGTATCAACATGGAACTCTTCTCTTAATTTCTGTTTCTTTGGTCATGTGTGGACGACTCTCCTTTCATCCTTGTTCACTATCTAGCGGCATCGGAAGCGATCTGTTTAGCCGACTACGGCGTTTGTAGCAACGGATTTGCAATTACACAATGGCTGGAATCTCAACTTAGGAATCAATAAGTTCTTAAGCATGCATGGATATAATTGTCACTCATATGAGCCTTTTTTTATCCAAGAATATGCAGCTGTTGGGTAGCAAAGTAAGAGCTCTGTAAGTCATTTAGAAATACACCGCAAGTCTTGTGAACCGGTGTCCATGAGAATATTGTGTATAAATATCAGGACATATACCCGAGCTTCCTCCTGGGTAGAAAGACCAAAAAGACGTGGGACAAGACCGTTAGGAATGCAATTCCTCCTTTTCTTATTGCCTAGGAAAGGTTCAGTCGGTCAAGGGCCGTTGGGGACTACCTTGCAGTCTTCTTAGCTATGCGTTGGAGCATTTGAGCAACGCTCGCTTGGTATACTCCATGGAGTGTTAGTTTCGAGTCGGCAGGTATGTCGACCCTATGTCATCTACTGCCCAACTAACGTAGACATTAGCTCCGCAATGCTCGGTCACAGCAGTGCTAGTAGTTCATAGGGATGAACCAGTCGTAAGCCGAGTAGCGGAGCTTTACCGCCTCTCCCAGTTGGCTCTGTATCCGGGGAAAAACGTAGAACTGAGTCCAGATACCGTCGGGACTTATAGCTCCACGTCCATTTCATCTTCATAGTCATTTCTTCCACCGTATTGAATATCCTCTCCTTCATCTTCCCCAGCCTGCTCTCTCAAGGTTTCCTCTTTAGAAGCACCTATTTGTCTATGGAAAGTAAGTTAGTGAATTATTTCAGAACTCAAAGAGTTTAACATACCTTAATGCTTCGGCTGCGCCGGAGATAAACCCTCTTGCTTCACCAATTTCCATGGCGCCCACACCTGTCAGCGCTAAACCGTCTCCACCGCCAACAGCAGTGGCATCGATACCTTCCATCAGTTGGCGCATTTTGGACATTCGCACCTCTCGGATATCCCGAAGACAGCGGCGTACTTGGTCGGAATCCTGAATGTCGTCGCTGGCTACATCAAGGAGCATTGTTGCAAACTCAAGCCAGTGGTAAGGCAAGGCGTTCAGGAATTCATTCTGCTCAGCATTTACAGTGTTTTGGAGTAGAAACGGAGGCGACGGAGTATATCTCTTCCCATCCATGTTATAACGAGGTCTGGTACTTCGGTTATTGCCACGGTTATGTTGTCTTGAATCTGTATTGCCATCTTGCGCTGGAGCCATTAAAGTGGGAGGAGGACAGAATTGCTCTGTTCGCATAGTTTCCAGCTCGAGAAGCGAGGTCAGTGACTCCAGGGCAAGCCATGAAGGGGCTAGTATATTGACACGACGTTGGCGTTTGAGCAAGAGAGCAAGCCAGAGTGGTAGTATAGATCGTCGCGGAGGTATCATTGCCTCTGTTGGTCCCTAGCGGGGTTGATTGTCGAGTTAGCGACTGGGTATAGGACAGGCACGGACAGAAAAATTGCTCCACAGGCACCAGGGCCCGATATCTTCATCTATAGATCCTCTGGCTGCCCCAGGAGGTATGCAGTAGTAGGCAGAATTACCGAGCTGATATCGTTGTACCTAGCCGTATTGAAGTAAGGGTCTAACTCACTCCAAGCAATTCTAGCCCCTCTAGACGCTGCCGGGGAACCACAGTCACCATTTCCATTTCGCAGAGAAAGGCGATTTCAGGGGACGTTATCCCCCTCGGTAGCGGGAAAGCCATTGAACGGTCTGGTGTTTCTCCTTGTAAAGCTGCGCAGCTATACAATTGCGCTCTTCGTCGCGTCGTTCTTTGCGGTTGCGATTTTGCGGAGTGACAATTTGATTAGTAATAATTGACTAATATGGCCTCGTCTTTATTTAATGATGTCACGTGAAATTAAACGTCGAAACCTTAAATCTAATATACCAAACACAAAAAAAGGCAAGAGGAAAAGAAAGACAACCAGGGGAGAAGCGTGTTGAGACAAGCATTATGGCATAAGGACAGCCATATCTAACACCATATTGTCGCTGTCGGCTACTTTATGACTCATATTCGTTTCGGCGTCTATGAACACAGAAGAGCATGCATGGAGACGGCTGGACAACATTGAAAATATACCCTTACATCGCAATGGACCATATTATTCCCCATGTGTGCACCATTCTTCTAGCGGCAAGGTTGATGGTCTACTGGCTAGGAAAAATAAATTTTATTCTTCCAGATCCCTATCTAGATGAGGTATTCCATGTGAGGCAGGCACAGGCGTACTGGGACCATCGATGGCAACAATGGGACCCGAAAATCACGACTCCGCCAGGCTTATATCTTGTCTCCTACGCCGTGGCGTCGTTATCGGCTGCTCTCTTTGGGAAACCAGTGGAACTCTCGGCTTCCGTACTGCGGTGCATAAATGGTTTGGTGCTGTTCAATGTTCTACAGTTTACACTGAGAAGGTTCTTTTCACTAAGGCAAGCGCTCATGCTGGAAAAGGGGGAGGTTAGGGTAAGCACTTGGTCAATTAGCCTCAGTGCTTTAAATATATGTCTTTTCCCGCCAATTTTTTTCTTCTCCGGCCTTTATTATACGGATTTGGCTGCCTTACTTGTCGTCTTAGAGGCCTGCAACGTTGATTTGGAGCGGAGTTCTTTCGCGGATGGTCATGGTACTGTTAAAGGCTCTTTACGGATGACTCTGGAATACCTTAGCCTTGTCGTACTTGGATTGGCTGCCCTTGTGTTCCGACAAACAAATATCTTCTGGATTGCGGTGTTCCTGGGAGGCCTACAGGTGGTGAACACTCTACGTTCGAGGTCTACAGAATGCCAATGTTCTGACATGCAGCGTATTGCAAGAGGGAGCTGGGAATTGAACCAACTCTACGACCCTCCTGCCGCTGCCGCGTATACTGAAGGTAATGCTTGCATGCCCATGATGAGCTTAGGTGTTAGATCAATAACTCCATACTAATATATATGCTCTATAAAGACTATCTTAAGGTTGGATTTTCGCTAGCCATTTCCGCTCTAACACATTTATCTGCCGTCCTGGTAGCCCTCCTACCCTATCTTTTCTTTCTTGGATGCTTTGGACTGTTCGTGATTATCAATGGGAGTGTCGTCTTAGGCAAGTACCACTTCAAAATGCGCTCTGCTTTCTATCGCTAACATTTTGTTCATAATTATAGGCCATAAGGAATTTCACAGTGCGGGCTTGCATCTGCCTCAAATGCTCTATATTTGGCCGTATTTTATGTTCTTCTCCTGGCCAATAATTCTATACCCGTGGGCATTACAGGTGTGGAACTATATTGGCCAATCTAACCCCCAGGGCCTGACCCAACTGACCAGCAAACTTCCGCGTCTGGGCATAATGCTAAGTGTCTTGGTGGTTATGACCCTGGTTGTTCACCTGAATACCATTGTACATCCTTTCACATTGGCCGATAATCGACACTATGTGTTTTACGTCTTCCGTCTCTTGCTCCGGCATCCAATGATTAAATACGCCGTGACCCCGGTTTATCTGCTATGTGGATGGGCGACTATCGCCGCGTTTAACATCCCTTCGGCCGATATTCCTGCAGAACAAATTCCCATAACTCCTGCCCAAGACAAAGAAAATGAAGAGTCCAAAAGGGCTCAAAGCAAGGGCCCAATACCCAACAAAACTTCGACGAGGACTAGTTTCGTGCTTATATGGCTAATATCAACCTCGCTGTCCCTTATCACTGCCCCGCTGGTTGAACCGAGATACTTTATCATTCCATGGGTCATTTGGCGACTACACATAGCCCCATTGAGCCGCAAGAGCAAAGACGTCCCAATCCGGTCATCTGTTCTGGAATTTCTTCCGCTACTTACCGAGACAACCTGGTACATGCTCATAAATTTGGGAACAGGATATATGTTTTTGTATAGAGGGTTTGACTGGCCTCAGGAACCAGGGAAAACCCAGCGGTTTATGTGGTAGAGAGAAAAAAAAAAAAAAGTGCTTTAGATTCCGAATCTATGCATTTTTCACCTTAAGACTCCTTTATCCATGCAGGGTATATAAACATAGCCAAATAATCATAATACAAGGATCCTAGTCCTGAACTCATTTGTCTTCTCCATTTGACTTCCGGGTGACAGGCACGTAGACCTTTTCGAATATCTTCTGGATAGGTTTCGCAGCCTGAAAATGTTGTGGTTAGCAGGGTTTCATGGCTACATGTATGGAGTTTAGAAGTGAGGCTGACATCAATGAACCGTTCCAAGTCCTGATCTAGACTGGCGAGATCTTCCTTTCTCTTCTTGTTTTCTGCAATGAGAGCCTGTTTCTTCTTCAAGAGCTCCTGGCGGGCCTGTTCGAGCTTTTCCCTCTCTGCGTGCTCATGGTTAATTCGGGCAATCGTAAGTTCATGTTCGTCCGAGTTTGCATGTTCTGGATGCAGGCTAATGAACTCTTCCACCGGTATCAAGGGCAATGACAGATAGCTATGGCTGTAAAAGGGATTATACTTGTCAGCATATACAGATCGGACCGAAGACAGTACCCGCCTAAAATCACGTACTCGTATGACTCGCATGCGGCTATCTCGCCGCTCAGGTGTCTCTGTTCGTAGTACAGATTCTGAAGCTGCAGGTGCAGTCTGTCTATCTCCTGGCGTGCCTCCGCTGTGGCCTGCTTGGTTGACCTGACATTGAGAATGGCCTCACGGTTGAGTCCACGTAGCTGAGCCAGCAGCGAATAAACGTGTCTCTGCTGCTTGTACGCTTCCTGCAGCGTCTCGTTGGGGTTCGACGAGGGGGTTTGGATCCCTTTTTCCAGCAGGTCGATGAGCTTATGCGCCTCGCTCAAGGTGTCCGAACAAGTTTTCAGGGCGGGGATAAGGGCAGGGTCGGTGACGATCTGCTCGACGGCCATCTTCTGCGACGGAATAACTGCTCTATTATACGCTGGCTTCTCCTCTTTTTCTCCTTCGTCTCGTCCTTTTGAGTGTTTATTGTTTATTTTATTTTTTGGTTGGCGGCTTCGCTCGATATTCACAAGCAAAAAAGAAGAAAAAAAAGCACGAAAGAAATAAAGATTTAAGGCCGTGTATTGAAAGCGGGTGTATTAAATACCGGGTTAACCTTGTCGCCGCGCGTCCCCCCACACACAGCCCACCCAAAAGTGAAACACAAGTGCCGGAAACTTTGGTAATCCCAATACGCACCCGCTTGTCGGCAACGAATGAACTTCACTCGCGACGTCACGCACTTTTTTTTTTTTTCTTATTTGCCTTTCTTTCCTGCTATCACCGAACGGTCGACTTCAACGCAGCCATTCAGCCATCCAATGCCGGCAAAATAGCCCCCGGACCGCGCCAGTGAAAGGACAGCAAGACCGCAGGAGCAAGACTGGGCCGACTGCTGCAACCTCGGATGCATGACCTTGCAGGCTTGCAACCTCCACACCTGCCAAGAGGGCAATTTGCTGCGCTATTCACACATCTCCACCCCGGACAGCGTCCATTCCTCAACGATTTCCCGCGCAGCCCCTCCTCCGTATAAAACCCCCTTACTTGCATCAGGAGTATTTTCTCTCCATCCTTGAGCAGCGCTCAGTGGCCTCTTTATCCGGCAGTCGAGTTCCGAAAGATGATAACAACTTGATCTCACCTAAGCCATCACCTCTCTCACCTCTCAACAAAAACCGAGATTTGAATACCACCACAAGCAGGAATACCTATAAACAACCATCTCAACGCCGAACAGAAGGTCTTGACATTTATTTGCTTGGTATTATTAGCAAGGGACTCTCACGGCCGTGGGAAATGGCCTGCACAACTCCTTCGATTACCATAGAGAGCCGTACTGGTACTCCATCCAGTACGGCCTCAGGATATCTTTCACCTGCCAACGAGTTGACTGGTCTATTGAAAGACCGAAGACGAAGACACTCATTTCACACATCTAGGCGACTATCTTGTGATTATGATGAAGACGCAATTTATCTCAAGGTGGGTGTTCATCGCTTCATTTTTTTTTTTTTTTTTTTTTTTTTCCCCTTTCAGGGGTACCCCATAAAATTTATTCTGACTTTGTTTTTCTTCCCTTGTAACATTTTAGGTCGACTTATTTCTTGCGGAGCTAGAAAGGCGACTACAGTGGTTGGAGGATTACCGGCAATCGCACATACTACAAATCGATTCTGGATTAAGAAGAGCCTACGGCGCTCTGGTAGCGGTTCGGGACTCATGTTCTCATGCCTCTGGAGAGCTGATGGGTGGCGGACGACGTCGAGCCCGTATTGCCGTCGAGACCCTCGAAAGCCGTTACAATGAGGTACTGGCTACCAAGGAAACGCTTGAACAAAAGGCTCAGGCAAGCATGCGATTGATGGAGGACTTTCTCTCCCAGCTAGAAGCGCGTGTTCACAGCGTTCGAGACCGTGGCTTATACGGCGCCATCGATGAAGGACTCCGGGCAGTCGACTCCAGCATAACCCATGCCCGAGTTATGCTTGACGAAGGAATCGAACGTGCAGTCCATGCGAAAATTGCTCTCCGTGAAAGTATCGATAGAGCCATCGCGCTCGCAAAGGAGAAGCGCCTTATCCACTACTCGGACCTCCCCCAGCCATGGAGAGTTAACCCTCACATCCGAAAGGGGTACCGGTTCACAGCATCGAAGATAGAATGTCTCACTTCTGTCTTCTCCTTTTCCAATGAACTGGTCAACATCTGGTCTCACCTCATCGGCCTAATAATCGTTCTCGCTGTGGCCTTTTACTTCTATCCGCTGAGCCCCAACTTCCACCTTAGCACCAAGACAGATGTCACCATTGCATTCATCTTCTTCATTGCTGCCTGCAAATGCCTCGTCTGCAGCACACTATGGCATACTATGAACAGCATAGCTAATCAGCCCCTCATGGAACGCTTTGCCTGTGTTGACTACACCGGTATTTCCTTGCTCGTGGCTGCCTCCATTGTCACCACAGAGTACACTGCATTCTACTGCGAACCATACTCTCGGTGGATCTATATTCTTATGACCTCCACGTTGGGTATCGCTGGCGTTATCCTTCCTTGGCATCCTCGCTTTAACGGCCCTCACATGGCTTGGGCTCGCGTAGCATTCTATGTCACCCTTGCCCTCACTGGCTTTGCACCAATTGTCCAGCTTAGCCTTACTCGCGGTTTGCAATGGTCTCTTTATTTCTACGCTCCCGTGGTAAAGAGTATACTTGTATACTTCTGCGGAGCTTGCATTTACGCCTCGCAGATTCCGGAACGTTGGCACCCCGGATTTTTTGATTACGTTGGCGGCAGTCATAATATCTGGCATGTCGCAGTTTTGGGAGGCATACTCTTTCACTATCTTGCTATGCAGGATCTATTTGCTGGAGCATTTCTGCGGGCAAAGGGCGAATGCCCTTGTCTTACTTCTTAGAAGAAAGATTTCCTTGCCATCATAGACCTCTATTTGCATCTGTCCCGGCTTTTCCTCTTTATTTTTCTTAGTATATTTTTTTTTTATTCTTGACTCTTCTTGTTTCGTCAATGAAATGCCTGATGGAGGACAGGCTTAAGGTCTAGGCTCACTGGATATGATACCAGATCATGTATTGCCTCCGATAATAATTTTAATTAGAGACCATGGAGAGTTCATTTCCCCATTTTTTTTTTTATTCCTTGTATTTCCTGCATGTACATTTCTCTTGTAATTCCGTACAGTTTTCTTAAGTTTCATTCAAGCCGCCATCTCCAAGGCTGCCTGCGCTTCAGTAATTTTATTTCAGTTCAGGGATACTCTATAGAGGCCGGGTTCTGAGAAGGTCGCGGTCAAACCTATACAGATTCTTCCAATACCTTCGCTTTAACGGCATCTGAATCATCAATAGCAGTCCCACGGAGGCTTGCTTCGATCTGCATGATACGCTTTTGTTCTTCATGCGCTTCAGTATCGCCAAAGACACTGTCCATCTCCTCCAACGTCTAGTATGAAAACGGTTAGGTTAGTTGATGTACACAACCTCCGTAAAAAACAAAAAATAATCCATACCTTTCCTCTTGTTTCCGGGACAAATAGATACGTGAAAACAAAGGCAATAAGACAGAATGCGGCAAAGAAGATATATGTTCCCCATCCAATTTTGTCAAGCATGCCAGGGGTTACCAGGCCGATGATACTGTAAAGTGGGAGGGCCGTTAGTGATCAATAGATGCTAAAAAATAGCGTACTGTAAACTCACAAATTGCACATCCACGTGGTTGATGTAGTAATCGAGATAGCCTTTGAACGGATTGAGAGGTGGAAAATCTCAGATGGCAATACCCATCCAATTGGGGCTGATATGTCGTTAGTTACTTACTCCAAGCACTTTTATCATGTTATTTGGATATCAACCTACCAAATGAATAAGAGAAATTGACATCATAGAGGTAGATGAACACAACCCCAACCCATCCAGCGGCGGCATGAGCTTTGAAATTGGAGCCATAGGCACCGATGATAGCGCCGACAATAACCAGTGAAATGAAGGTTCCAGCGGCACCGCACATTAGAAGCATTCGACGCCCTAGCCTATCTATCCAGAATAAAGCTGGAAGAGTGCTAATGCAGTTGATGATTCCATATACACCAGTAGCCAGGAGGGAGGACTGTGAGGGGGTTAGTAGACAGTTTAGGTCGTTTCATGAGATAGAAGCGCACGTACCGTATTCCCATCCAATCCTAATTGCTTGAAAACAGTTGGAGCGTAGTAAATCATAGCTGCAAAACCTCATTAATATCATGTTTAATTGGCCAGTAGCTATAAATAAAAAGAAGCGTACCATTGCACCCCATGAACTGCTGGAAAAACATAATGGAACATCCAATTGCAAGTCGCCTGAACCTAGACCAAGTGCTAAGAAGTGAATAGTACTGTACAGAACGTTAGCATGAGATGGAGAGTTTACGATTTGTTTTTGAGGGAAACCTACTTGTGCAGCGTGCAATTTAACCCCGGACAAGTTTGCAAACTTTTCCTTAGCAAACGTATTTTCAAGAATAACGGATGCTTTGATTTCGAGGAATTCAGTCTCGATAGATGGGTGATCAATAGGTTTCTGTCGTAGTGTTGCAAGTGATTTGCGTCCCTCTTCTTCACGGTCTTTCATAAACAGCCATCTTGGTGAGTCTGGGAAGAAGAGCGTTCCAACTCCTAAAACCAACGCCGGAAGAATCTGAAAGGCCAGTGGAACTCTCCAAGACGCATCTGATTGTCCGTCACAGCCGTTTGGTCCAACATCTTTGTAGGGATCAAAAACGGGCTTCTCGACTGTTCCACCTGTGTACTCTATCCCCGGGGCACATCGAGTACCTCCAATGTAGTTGGTTCCATAATCAAGCCAGTAGCTTACAAGAATGCCAATAGTAATGGATACTAGCCACGATGTCAGTAGCGGGAATTGTTAAATAAAGATTAGATATATAAGACTCACATTGTTGTAATACAACGAGTCCACCTCGAATATCCGGTAGAGACACCTATAGAACGGTGTAAGTTGATTCATGTTCAATTGAGATTGAGGCCGAGATATAACCTACCTCAGATATATATAAAGGCACCACCATAGTCAGTTGTCCCACGGAGAATCCGGCAATGGCACGACCTTCATGAAATCAATATTATCCATATAAGCAGGTGTAATCCGAGGAACCTACCAGCAAAGAGCATCGGAATATTGACTGCTCCGGCCTGAATAGCAGATCCGACGACGAAGACAACAACTGCTGTGATCACACACATCTTTCTACCTATATAATCCGCAAGAGGACCATTTACCAGAGATCCGAACCAAGCCGCTAGAGTTCCTTGTCAGCACTTCTGCTCTAGAATAATTAACCTTGGGCAAATCTAACTTACCCAGAAGTAACGTTGACACAAACCATCCCTTAAAGCCGCTATCATTATAGACGCGAGGGAACTTTGCGCCAAAGGACTCCATGGTGAGGACTCCCGAAACAACTCCCTGATCATAGCCAAAAAGGAAGCCACCGAGGGTTGAAAACTGATATCCGGGATGCCATTGGTTAGAAGACAGGTATAGTTATGGTACAGCAACATATAGCAGGTATCCTCACCAGTGCGACACCAAATATAAACGGGTTTTTCGCAACATTTCCAAACCAACTTGTCTTCTTTGTCTGGTTTATAGACCCAGCGGTCTGTTGACCAGTAACTTCGTCCATGGCAAGGCGGCAGATGAACCCGGAGCGTGAGCAATCGGAATCTGGAGAAAGCTCTGGGGCCCCGGGATGTCTTATATGCTAGGGGGGAATGGAGGCAAGGTAGAATTTTTCCCACTCAAGACGTAGACGCGATTCTCCTCCTACCCTCGGTGCCATACTATGGGCCTTAGGCGTGGGGAGCTGCCCAAGACCTCCACTACCTAGTGAAGAACGGAATAGCTGCAGCTGGAAAGGGTCGCCTGAAAGGAGATACTCCGGCATTATCGCCGAGGAAGTATGCTGGCCACTATCATATATAATTTCAGGAGCGGGTGAGACCCAACGCCATGAAATAAGGGCAAATCTGCGCGGGATGGGGAGAGGTTGCACTCGGTAGTATTGGCTCGGTGGAGATGGATGTCACTCAAGCTTTCGCTCTGCAGAGTGGCGATTGGCTGCTGCATCAAAGGGTCCGTATGTTTAATTTGAAAGGCATACAATTATGTTGCAAAGCTGAAGAGTTAACTACCTATTACCAATTGAAGTTATTGATCGGGCAAGACTGCGTTCGATTGTCCCGCATTTCTATGTATATGGCATCGCGGGATCTATTCTATCAGGAAAGTTGAGACGTTGAAATGGCCGGGGTCTGTGTGGCGTGAGCGTTTATTATACAGCGGGACTTCCAAGGCACAGCGAGGGTAACTTAGAAGTCAACCTAGTGTGGAGCGAAAGGAGAGCCTGCATATGCACGGAGGACTGTAGCATCGAACGGTCTAACCGCCATCGTATTTTCAGCATCAACCTGATCGCACGGGTCCTTGCAATGGCGTGCTCGTTAACAATGCAGAATGCCCTTGCGGGGGGCACAATGATCTCCGGGGGGACAAACCAGAGACAAAATGGGTGCTAAACATTGTATGCCTCTTCTGTTGAGAATTTTAATTTTTGAATTCACTTGGCTGGTCGAGCGTTGAAGGGACTTCCTTTGAAGCCTGGGGCGGTATTCGTTTTCTGAACCGTCCTTGTAGCCAGCATCGATGCATCTTCAGCTTTCGTTGACGGTTGACAATCAATCGGCGATCAAGGTCCATGTTAAGAATTTCAAATCCAGAATCGGGCGAGCTTTGTTCGTCGGCTGTCGTGCTTTCGTCATCCTTTTTAAACTCAGGTATGCCTCCCTGGGGTGTCCATTTGCCCCATATATGGGATACTTCCTCCTTTTCAAAGAAATATACTCTCGTGCCATCCCCTCGAACATAAAAGTTCTCTCCCATCCACCGTCCCTTTTTAAACCGTACCTGTGCAAGGTCGCCCTTTCCATAGTCGCGGAAAAGCACATAGCCTCCAGGCTTCAAAACCTGGTATATATTCGATACTGCGTTATTCCACTCTTCTGGAGCGAGAGCAGAAAAAATGAAAACCATCACGACAACATCCACGGACTCCTTTCCTAAGCCTGGTGGAAGTGAATCTTCACCTGTTGCCGTAACATCCCAAACATCCGCTCGCATATTTTTCTCATTATAATTTTCACTCTTTCGCATAACCTCCACGGCAGTCTTGGAGTAGTCGCAGGCGTGGACCACTAGTTGTTCGTTTTCATTATTCGATAATACAGGGAAAGCTGTGTTGCCCGCCCCGGCTCCGACTTCAAGCACAACCTTTGGGCCTGCATCTGCCGCCGTCACTTCTCCTAGGATTGGGAATTCCTGCTTCAACCACTTGCGATTCTTGAAGAAGTTCCCGGTATTGTTTTTGTAGAATAGGTTCCACCACTTCGCCGGTTGGGAATTAAACCGCTGGCGGTCAAAGTCGGAAACTGGAGAGGCCCGCTGTCTTGCATATTGTAATTCGGCATATTCGTAGTACTCTGGATCAGCCTCTACATGATCCCAGGCATTGAATTCAAAGACATCATCGCCTTCTTCAAGGAACCGTGAGCCGAACTGAAATGGATCCGTTCGTTTCTGATTGTTGGCGGGGTCATGAGACCGATGCGCTGGGACGGGCACAGGCTCGACAAGCTGGGCAACTGCCACATAGTCCTTGCAGTCAGCGTACGCTGATGTAGTTTGTTCCGTCATTGTATATTTATGCACTCAGTCCCTTTGCGAGAATCTTGTGTTGGTATCAAGAAGGAGAATGATAATAATAACTTGCTGGCTGACACAAAAAGAAATCTCGAAATAATTTTGACTTTTTGCGATAAGATTTCCCGTCGATATCGGAATATCGGATTATTAATAGTCCTTAATGCATGGTTCAGCCAATCGGATGTTAGTGAGACTGTGTAACCGCCGACTGATTTTCGGACTATTATTGGCCAATTTCATGAATACGGTACAGTAACGTGTAATACATTACGGGCTATCCCGCTGAGCCGCAGCATCCACGTGACTCAGCCGCAGCCCTCCGCAGTTTCTCCCAGGAACAAACCAACTACTTCTCTCACACTTGTCATCTTCTCCCCTCTGCCAGCCGAGATGCCCTACTGCCGTCACCCAGGGGCTTAGTTTTCGTGGTGAACCAGCCCTAGTCTGGGGTTTGAGGGCATTGCATGCCCTTCCACGCTTCCAACTGTTCTCCCTCCCAACCAGAGTTCTCTAAACGCTGACGACGCTCGTTAACTGCCCCGTTTTGCCCACAGCCTCGCGCGGAACATCATTCCAAATGGCCGCCTTCTTCGCCAGCTTGTGTTCATGTTTTCCCTCGCATAGTAGAAAGGAGGAAAAAGAATCAGATTACTCTTCTCAACCCCACCTTGACGACCAGTCGTCCCAGCCCTCACACCCTTCCAGTTACAACCGGTATCAACCATTCGTTGATGAAAATGACCCGTACCACTCGAGCCAGCCCCTTCCAAGATACACTGCACGTCCTATCAGTATACGGGAAAAGACCCTAGCCATCTCAGGTCGTCGCTCTTTATGCGAACGTGATCACCCTCGAGATGAAAAGAACCAGAACATATACGACCGTCGATCCCCTAGTAATAATGCCGATAATGCTGCAGAAGACGATTCATCCGACGCATCATCGCAGATTTCTTTCCCTACTAGCATAGGAAATACGTCTACGGCTACTGGAGAAACGCCTCCGCCGCCGTATTCTTCTTATTGCTCGTCTCGAGCCCACTCCCAGCGGTCGATGTCGATATCTATCCCCACTAATTATACTGGAACGACAGAAACAGATTCATCTTCGATAATTCCACCTTCTCCTATTGCCACTCCACCGCCTGTTTTCTGTCGCGACCATACAGGTACCTCTCGACGTTCATATGATGGTGCAGGAAAGAGAGATGATTCGACTTTACCCGAATATGAACGGAGTTAACTTGCTGCATCTTCTTGTCTTGTTTTCGATGTTATTATTGTTGGTTATGGTTCTACTTTATTTTTCTTTTTAAAAGGCTGGACAGGAGGGTATAGTGACGAGCATGGATAATATAGCTGCTCACCAGGGAAGGAAATACTCTGCTTAGTTTCAACCTGGAGATTTGCTTTCCTCCAGGCCCAAGAGTTATGACGAAAGAAAAGCCAGATTTGTCGACTTTTGTTGTTACATATTGAGATATATAGAAATGCTGGACATTCTTGTTCTCATTCAGAAGTAATGCTATTTATTCCCGAGTCTTCCATTAAAAAAGGAACAAGCCGAACAGTGATAGCTCTCTACAATTTTAACCGAAAAAGGAAAATGTTAAAACACCAGCAATGCTCCGTGAAATGAACAGGAAAAGAAAAATATAACTATATATATCGACAAATAGTATACTTTACTAGAAGATAATAAAACATCAGCGGATTTGAAAGAACATCGATAGTCAGGAATTGTAGGACAACAGTAACAGGACTGAAATGAGGAATGAGAACACCATATCGCTAAATGCCTGCTAGAAGCCCCGGTTCCCCTTAAACTCGAAAATATGTTTCCTTTCGCCGAATAAAAGAAATAACCCACTTTGCAAGGAGGTGAAAGACAGACACAGAGAGTCGTTAGGAAAAAAAGTAGAAAGCAACTTGGCATAACAAATGAAATGAAAAAGAAAGTGCTAGTACCTCCGGCGGTCATTGATGACGAAGGCAACTAGTTGCTGGAAGATCTGAGAAGATGGCTAAAATCGGTAAATGGATAGGATGTGATAGTATATGATACATGGCAATGCCGCGAATGGTTTGCTGTACCACGAGACGTGATGAGAAGTTGAAGTCGAGAGTGAAGTGGCACAAGATTAAGCATCATCACCCAGAATTTCAGTATGTTCTGACCCACTACCGGCCGGACCGTTGTCATCGTCATCATAAGTGGCAGTATGCTGAGAAGCACCTGGCTGGGCTGGAGGGTGACTATTGGTGGCCCCGTCCAGCTGAGTTAGCGGAGGAGGCGCTTCACCAACGGCCTCCGTCGGCTGCTCAGACATGTGAACGGGCTCCCCAGTATGGTATACTTGACTGAAAAACTGCCCTGCATACCCGGCAACTTCGTTTGCAAGGTTGCGTTCGAGAGCAACTTCAAACATCTCCAGGTCGCGTTTCTGTTTCTCATCTCGTCTTGCACGTTCCTCCTCGAGTCGGCGACAAGTACCATCCTGCTCCTTGGTCACATAACAGTTTGGACAGAGGTAGTTCAAGTCACAATACGAGCAAGTGCATGGCGGATTCTCGTCGACGCAATCTTGGCAAACGTGGACAGAGCAAGATGTACATTCGCTCAGTACGCTTGTACAACGCTGACGGTGATCTCCGGCAGCTCGGAACTGTGGGCAGAAGAACGACTGGCAGCCAAGCCATTTACGCGACTGTGGTGCTGCCTCAAAGTAAACAGAGGCGGGTGTAGAAGAACGGGTATGGTTGTTAGAAGTCGAGGAAGAGGCAGGGTCGGCATTTTGATTGTCAGTGGCATTCATAGCTGCCGTCGCTGGAATTGAAGAATTTGTTTCGTTTGGCAGAGGGTTACTGCTGCTTGAAGCACCGCCATGGCTCTGTTCAGGGGGAGCAAGTCTCAAAGGCGCATACGAGGCCGAGGTAGACAAGGCAGGCCTGGCAGGAGAAGTTGCCGAAGCAGCGGACGAGGCAGGTGTCCGTCCATCCCCAATAGCAAGTTTTTCAAGCAGAAGGTCTCGATAACCACATATTCGAAGACGCAACCCCCGTAAATCGTGTTCCATGCACAAGGGCTTTGAACAACTCTTACAATGGACCTTCCATTGGGGGGAATCAAAACAGTCCTGACACAAATTGCGCGGGCAACTTGAAACTTGACAACTTGATGGGCCTAGGAGCCAACGCATCATCTCAGTGTGACCTTCGGCAAGAGTGTAGTCAGGCTTCTTCGGGTCTCCATATGCATACTTTGGGAAATTTTTGCTCCATTCATTCGATGAGTACTCCGGATCTTCCCACCCTTGCCCACGGGGAAGAGGAGCCGCCCGTACCCTGTCAACTTCACGGCCAGCGACTCCAAGCGTTATTCCACCACCGCCAGTGAACATGGGTTCAGTGCAGCACCAGTGTAGCTTCAGGTTTGGGTAAACGGGAGAGTTGGCCATTCCATTCTGGTTGTTGACCGTATTAGGACCAATTGCTTGCTGATAAGGCTCCTGCATCGCACATGGGGATATGGTGGCTCCTGGAGCCCACCAGAATGTCTCTCCGGCCGATTCACCAACAGATGCTGTCTTTCTCCTTGGGTAGGGTGTATCATATGCACAACTGTAACAGAGAGTTTTCCGGCATCCAACACAATGCATCAAGACGCTGCATTGCTCACATCTCTCATGTATCTTTTCAAGACAAGCATCACACTTTATGTCGTCCACGAATCGTTTGTGACTACTGCGTAGGTGAGTTGGGACTGTCTTTCCCTCTCCGTATTTCTGGGCACCAGGAGTCCCCAGAGGTTCGCCAGAATGGCCAGTTTCATCATGTTCCCATAGGCGGCCGTCTCGTTTCGGAGGCTCATTGCTGTCACCAGATGCGCCAATCCAGTTTTTGGACCTCCATAGCCGGTCGAACACAACCCACACTTCAGGACTGCCTTGTGGTACCCTCATAGCCACATAACCCCGTCTTCGAAAACAACGTCCAGCGGGAGTAGTACACCAAGCGGTATCGGTCCATATACCAAGTTTATGGCAAAGATTGACAAGCTCATGTGTTGGTTCTGAGTCCGAGTCTCTTCTAAGCAGAGACGAGGTTAGGTACGGGCGTCTCCTATGGTGGCGACAACGGTAGGTGTAGAGGCTTTTGATAGCAAGACGTTTCACTTTTGACGAAGGGCCGAGCGGATTTGTAGTTTCTGTATCATATTGAAGCCCAAACATGGTCAAGTAAGGAATGATATGATATTTCAGAGACACATTTTTGCATCCTCGGACAGAGATGTGCTCGAGCGTATCCCTGCGTGCGCTAAGGACGATCGAAATGAGGTTCTGACCCGATACAGCAGTGTTATCCAGGTCCAGACTGCGAAGAGAAGGGCTAAAGGGTACGATGACATGAAGTAGTAATTGGTCGAGTGCGTAGGGTCGGGACTGGCGCTGGTTTCCCTGCGAGTCTGTGGCTCCAACCAGCGGGCGAACCTGCGTGCTGGAAGGCAAAAGGAGTCGGAATGAGAGATACTGCCATGCTGTCGGATATGATTTGAGGAAAGACCGGAGATATGACGAAGTGTGGTAGAGTTGAAGGATAGATTCAGTCGGGGTCTGTAGGAGGAACGATTCGAGGATGGGCGGATGGGTCGAGAGAACGCGTTCGAACGTAGAGAGCTGCGAGTGCCTCGCCATCGGCCGCTGCTCTCCTTCTTCGCCTTCGCTGAATATGAGATCTGGGGACGTAGCAGCCGGCATCCTTGGGCTCATCTCGTTGGGCGAGGATCCACCGGGGCCGAAGATACAGGCCATCCTGGAATCAGTAGCACTGAGAATTCGATCTGGTAAGACGGCGACGGGAAGACGAGAGGTAGCTGGGCATCATAAGACGAAGACGGTGGAGGGCTGCTGCTGGGCAGAAGTGAGGCGTGCGTTCGTATGGCTGGATGGTCGCGTTGACACATCGATGGCGAGCTGGGGAGATTATGTCTTCCTCCTTTTCCAGGCCGGGCCTGAGGCACAGCCTGCGAGCAGGACCGTCGGTCAGTCAGTCAGTCAGTCAGTCAGTCCACCGCGGGCCCGGAGGCAATTCGCATCGCAGGGCAGCACCACCCCCGACTCCCTGGTCCAGTGTAGCGAGCTGACGGGTCCGCTGGCGATGGGCTTGCTGTCGCTTCGTCGAGCTGGCGATTGTTTGTTGCCTTCGCTGGCGGCCGTCGATGTTTTCTCGCCGCCTCTTAAGAGCAAAGTGTCACGTGGATAGACAGCAGCGCAGTGAAGGCGAAGGAAGAAGGGCCTTTTCGAGCGCTTTTGCTGAGCAAAGACGGAGCAGTTTTATTATTTATGCGCTTAGCGTTTTAATCGTCCGGGACAGGGGGCGTACGGGGAGTCCCTGGCATCGCGGTCCTGGGAGTGGGTTGCTGCGTGCTGAGGCTGCGCGGCCTTGCGGGTTCAACCAACCAACTAACTAGTTAAATAGTCAACTAACTACTACGAAGAGAGCCGTGGTCATTAACTAATTGACACTGGCTGTCTGGCCACAGGGCGGAACGCGGCGAGATGCAGACTCCCACAGTACGGAGGATACCTACAAAAAAGAGGGCATGGGTGTTGGAGGTGGAGGGAAAGCCCCCAGGAGAAAATAGGGGGGATATCTCTTTTGGCCAAATATATTCTGTCTAAGGCTAACTAGTTACCGCCGTTCTTGATTGTCGCCAATTCTATACCCTCGAGCAATTCCCGAGAGGCCTTCAACAACGGCACTCCCCTTGAGACCACCGTCCTGGGTGTTGTCGTCCTCATATTCAACGACAAAATCACTACCCAGCCCTCTCCATGATCTGTTGGACTTTAAAAACTCGGCACCAGGGGAGACAACACCGCCGATGGTGGCAACGTCTGAGTTGAATCGTTTTGCGAGAGATCTCGAAGCACCAGCAGCAGCTTGTTGCTCATGAGCAGCGTTGGGCAAGGCAGCCGAATGTGAAGAGCCTGAATACGCCTGCATGGGTCGGGAATTCGAGGTTGAAACGTATCGGCCCGTTCGGAAATCGAAATCAGGGGGAGCTGACTCTGGCTCAGAAAAAGTTTCGTCTTCATTCTCTCCTGCATGATTGAGTGTATCTGTTTCAGCCTCAGTTTCAGCCTTCGCCGGAGATGAGATAGGACTATCAGTTTTCTGTTTTGGCGCAGCACTCTGCTCGAAGTTGAGTAGGGACTGGTAGTCACTGCTCCACGCTCCGGTCCATATCCGCTCACTGTCACTTTGAAGTGCGAGTTCCAGCTCATATGGCGTAATGACCGGTCTCCAAAACTCTCTGCTATCCACAAGCGAGCTTTCCCAGCATCCAATGATGACCCATCCTTCTATCTCGCTGAAATTGGCTACTTTTGCCACATTGAGCTTTCCAACAACAAAGAGGTAGCTCTTCTTCCCTGCTGCCGCAATGAGCCTCTGAACATGCTGCACGATGTGGAGGTAATTCTTCACACTGAGGGTATTCACAAGAATGCCAAAGATCGGTGCGGTATTGAGGGACGTCAGGATGGCATATCGACGACGAAGAGAAACCGCAGTAGATGCTAGTAATGCCTTACTTCCAGAGCCAGACTTACCACTAGCTCCAGAATCAGCTGGGTATATCCGGATTGCGGCAACACGGGAAGAGAGAGTTAGAAGCAAAGAGGTTGGCGGATCAGAGATATGGAAGAGCTGCCAGTCGTTTAATGACTCCTCTCCAGCCTCCACTGATGGCGGAATCGTCCGGTTAGGAATCGGGGAGGAAGGGTTATGCACCACTTGGGTCGCAAAAATATTGGTATACCCCTTTTGCTGTGTGAGTATTTTTGCTATCTCCTCAACATGTGCGGTATATGTTACATCCGCGGCAATGACGACTTTCTCTTCATGGTCTGGGTATGATTCCTCAAAGGCCTGGATGACTTCATCATGCTCGAGTGGCCTACACGTAAATATATATATCACAGGTAGCCTCGCAGTTGGTGAGAGGCATGATCTTCCATAATGTACTACAACATCTGCGTCGACATGCTCTGCCGCAACTTCGTCCACACAGCAGGTTCCGTACGAGGTGTCTGCCAGTATATATAGCTTGGGCGTACAATCTTCAGATTTTTTGTCCAGATTCAACTCCTGGTCCATAGTATTGGTCACGTCTTCTACGTCTTTGTCATCTCCTTCCACGCCGTTGGTGTTGTGTCTTTTCTTCTGGCTATCATTGTCATGGGAACTGAGGCCGCGGCTTAAGAGCTGGAAAACTCGCGGCGCATCAGGTAGCATGTCATCTGGGAATTGGAGGGCTATTCTCTGCCATTTCCCCTCTTTTATCTCCCTGATCGTCCGCTCAATGTCGTAAGTAATGCGGAATTCCTCGTCCGATAAATTCTGGCCGATAGGTTGGTTGACTGCTGTCGGTTCGGTTTCCTCTAGAATCCGCGAGTCTGGCGTCGATAGGACTGGCGCAACCTTCAGCGCTTCCGTCATCTTCGCGCTTCTCTGCTGCCAGGTGAAATCTCCGTTTTCTTCTTCTTCTTCTTATTATTATTCTACCTTTTCTTTTCCGTCCTTTGGTGGGATAAAGAAAATGTACAAAGGTTTCTCTTATCGCCACGTGACGTCCCCGCCATCTGATAACTAAGGCCTATAAAAAGGAGGCTTGAAAAATCACCCCCTTTTGCTCTCCAGGTTTGAGCTTTGTTGTTTACCCTCTCATATACCTAGTTATACCCAAGCTGTGGAAAGGATATTTCTTTGGAATTACATCATTTTCTCTAGGACTTATTACCTGAGTCTCAGTTGAGATAGTTTCCCATTTCACACGTCACTTGCCCCAGAGGTGGACAAATCCAAGGGACATTGCATCTAGGATGTAAAAGAGAGACTATACTGGACCTCTGGATGGATGAGTGTTGTATTGGTCATAGCAGCGTCAAGTCAAATGACGCTCGTATCGACAACTATAGGTCAGCTCGAGCTTCCTCCCCTGCCCAAACCCTCCTCAGGAGCTCTCTAATTGCATCCTTTTTAACTTCACGGGGGTTACAGTAGACATTCCTCATGGCTATCTCTGCAGCCTTGTCAATATCCTCTTCCTTCATACCAAACTCTCTTGCGCCCCTTTTTACCTGTAGCTTTTGCATTAGAACATTTAGGCCTCGAATTGCATCACCTTGGCTACCAGGGAGCAGCTCTGCCAAAGTAGTCATCGCTTCGGGGGTGTTCGGAGAGTTATATGCAACTGCATGAGGAAGGACAGCGGTATGTGTCTCTGCATGCGGCAGGTTAAAACTACCACCAAGTGCATGGCATAGTTTGTGATGCAAGGCCATTCCAACACTTCCCAGGCATGAACCACATAACCAAGCGCCGTAGAGGGCATCTGATCGTGCAGATTTAGATTGGGGGTTCGCCACAATGTCTGGTAAGGCTGTAGAGAGGCTTCTTATGCCTTCTCGCGCCAGGAGGTTGACGATTGGGTTTCCGTTGTGAGCATATAATGCCTCCACTAGTTCAATCAGCACCAAGGAATATGTAACAAAGATAAAGATATTTGAATAAATAAACTCCCGCACCAGGGTTAATTACCTGCATGGGCAATGGCATTCATGCCACTTGTAGCACTCAGGCTGGCCGGCATCGACATTGTCAGGTCGACATCATATATGACTGCTGCTGGGAGGATTTTGGGGTCTGTCCTGGTAGACTTTACACCGTCATGCGTTTCTCCGAGTATTGGAGTCATCTCACTGCCTGAATATGTTGTTGGAACGCATAGATGCGGCAGCCCAGTCCGGAGGCTGATTGCCTTCCCCAGCCCGATGACACTCCCACCACCGATGGATACAATGCCATCAGCACCGTGTTCCTTTGCATATGCAAGAGCTTTCTCAGTGACATGCGTGGGGACATGCATTACAGCACCGTCAAACGCTCCAGCTACTTTGCCCTGGAGCTGCCTTCTCACATCGTCCACTAGCTTCTCTTGCCGAAGGGTATACAGAAGCAGTGGGGAGTTCACGCCTAGCCGTTCAATTTCTGCAGACAGCTGTTTTATGGTCCCGGTGCCGAAAAGAACATGAGCAGGGTGCGCATTGTATTCGAATGGTTTCATTATATGTGTTTTTGAGGCTCGAGAGGTTGATAGCCAGACGTTCGAGTGGCCAAGGAGTTGTATGTGTGCCCCTGTAGCGGAAAACTTGACGTCGTATAGCCATTTGTCAGTCTACATCCCGGCATATAATCAGCCACTGGATTGACGGCTTTGTACCTACGGTAGAGGTATTGTAGGCTTATACTATCGCGTTTACTTGCCTGAGAGGCATCGCAGCCCACTTCATCACCTCGATAGAGATAGCGGTTAAAGCCCTCTATGCCCCTGAATACAAATATCCTGACATTCATGGTTATTGTACAATTGGTAGATTTGGGCAACGTTGACTCTATCCAAGGTCAAGCGCGCTGTGGGCAAATACCAGCATATCCAAAACTCTACATCACGTAGAGTGACATCAAGACTTATGTAGTAGCGGGAGAGCGAGTCACAGAGAAATCAATCGAGGTCCTTGAAGGCCATTACATGCTGGCCACCAGTTCGATCTTTACCCTTGCCTCGCTTCCGCTTCCTTCTTCTCTTTTCTTCTTTCTCCTCTTCCTCACTCTCTGCCGCCGACTCCTTGTCGCTATCATCGTCGTCATCATCATCATCACTATCCTCCAGGTGCCTTTTTGATGGCGCCCAGTTATCCTTCCCTTTCCCGGTTGTCTCTGGTGCCTCATGCCACACCTTGACTATTGAGCCGCCACTGCTGACCATCCTGCCACAAACATCGAACCCCAGACCCGCGACACCTTCAACTTCGTCATGCCTGGTCTCAGAAATGATGTTGTTACTGCCCAATTGAATGAATTTCAGGCGTCCATCACTCAGCCCAGCAACGACAACCTTGCCGTTGCTTACCTCGTCGGGAGCTTTGGTAAGAACCTCTAGACTCTCACCGCCGAGTGGTGACTTGTCTACGATGATTCTCTCATCCTGGTCATCCCACACTCCTTTTTCCCAAAGCGTTATAACTCCACTACCTCCTCCAACTACCAGTTTCTCCCCCTTGCTAGTACCTCCAGCTTTCAGACCGGTGACGTAGGTTGAACTGATCAATTCCTCGCCCTGGTCTTCACTGCGGACCATGACCCCCCGCCGAAGGTCTGTGACTGCAATTGTGGTCCCTCCCGTCGTTATCCACTGCTTGCTGAACCCTGACGTACTCATCTCAGATGGCGGTAACGGAGTAAGGGAGGATATGTAGTCATCATGGGGGTAGTGCGTTTGTTCTGGCCGAGCAGACACTTCTGTTGATGGGCTTCGGAGATCAAATATATGAAGTGCGCTGGAATCGGTTGCAAGAAGGAGTGTCTGGGGAGAGAGGGCATGCAGCAGACAGGGACTGTCTGTATCATGAAAAGTCCTAGTAATCAAATATCGTCAACATAAAAAAATATAGCACATATACCAGGACATGCCCCGTACTTATCCCTAGGCATTGGGACCGCAAATTTGGTCACGACCCGACCAGTCTCTGAGTTCGCGGCCTTTACCCAGCCATCTGTGCCAGCGGAGTAGAGTATATCTCCATCAATGCCAAATGTCAAGCTCCGGCAGCTGCCTTTGTGTCTCCTTGTCTGCCAAACGGTGTCGATATGCCCTAGCCCATTTTTCTTCTCCCCTGGCTCAGTCTCATGTTCGGCAGGTAGCTTGAAGGTCTCGACATGGCCAGAGGAAAGGCCTACAGAGACAATTGGCTCTGTAGGATGAATGGCCTGGGTGAATATATCCGCCGGTAGGGGGTAACTGCAAACGGTGTCGAACATTTCGGCCACAGTGCTGGATATAGTGCACGCGAGGGAGAAAAGGCGGGATTAAGGCGGTTATATTGTCACTGCATTCTAAGCTGGTGTGTTTCTAGTCCAATTGATCCAGCCGATTTCCTTTCTGTATTTTCTTCGCAATATTGTTGAGCTGTAACTTGGATGCGCAGCTAGCTAACTGACCAGATATTCAAATATTCCCGCCAAGCCACATATAGATCTAACTACGGGCGAACAGTTCAAAGGCCTTCACTCCTGGACTTCTGTTACAACTATACATGATTAAAATCTGCCATAGAGCCCTCTAAATATCTTCGAAGTCTGCTCAGAGTCTCTTTTCCCCGTTGTCTTCTTCTGCAGCGTTGGCATTTCATCGTTTTTTGTGTCGCGAGCGAAGGAGGCATGTCTTAGTCAGCACTGCCCGTCCTGTAGCTTCGTCGTCCATCCAAACTCCAACATCTCGACCTCCTCTGCCCCTTGATAGCTGATAGCCTGGTCAAACATGAGCTGACAATGGTCAAGGAAGATTCGACGCGGGCTACGTCCCCTGCTGCGGGGCCTGATGCCCCGAGCAGCCCAGGCTCAAGTCTGGGCCCGGTTGATGAGATGGCACCTGCATCTGCTGTTCATCGCAGTGCACCGCCAGAGAAACCAGAGGCTGTTCGCAGGAGATCCCTCATTGTACTCACTTTCTGGTTAATTATACTGCTTCTCGGGTTGCCTATGTGGTGGAAAACAACGTCTATCTATAGGGCTAAGCTCCCGCTCAATGAGATGGAGAATTGGGCGGCAGGAAAGGTTAGCTATCGAACCCCCCCCCCCCCCCCAGATATTTGATCCACCGAGACCAGTTATTGATATCCAAGTAATATAGTCCTGTAGGCCCGTTTTCCCGTTACATATACATGTCCACACTCCTGGGTTGAACATTCATGAAGCCGAGTCGTTGGTTCAAGCAGCACAGCATGCTCTCGATGACCTGAACGACTTTTCTGCGCACCATCTCCGCCTACGGCTTGTGAAAACTAAGGAGAACCCAAGTTCTGAGACTAGTACTGCCAATGGAGCTGTTGGGGAGCGTGCTTTAGTACTACGACTTATACCGCGTACTAATATTACTGCGATCTCCTCCGATCTACACCCTTACTCCGAGCGGTTGGATATTTTTTATCCATCTAGCCAGGGGCAACCACAAACCACCTCCCATTCACCTCTTACAACGTTCATTGCAAACGAGCTACGTACGTTATTCAATGAGGAAAAGGCTACACTGGAGTATATCCTCTCGCAGAGCAATAGTGCGACCATGTCTTCAAAGCATGTAGCACAAGGGGCAGTCAACAAGGACCAGAGGGCGAATGTTCTCAGCCCTGCGATACAGCCACTATTGCTTGAATCCATTGCTAGCCGTGTGAAGAATTCATTTAAATATGCGGAAACTTACCATCTAAGCTTTTCTCTCTTCACACCGGGCCCTGCCCCGTCAGCTTGGGACATTGAGCCAGCTTTGAAAGAATATCTATCCCCTCTGCTCAATGTGTTTGCTCCCATTAGCAATTTCTCGGTTGATACCCAAGTGCAAGTCTACGCTAAATTCTCACCAACCGCAACGCCTCCTGAATATGATGAGAGTAAAGCTGCTTGGACTCTTAAGCAGGATGATTTGAGCGGATTCATTAACGCGGCGGAATGGCCTCTCAATCCAAGTATAGGTGGTGGGCCAACCATCAACTTCATCCTTTATGTTCCATCACCAGCACAATCACCACTCGTGGTTAAAGAGAATGCTGCCACAAGCTGGCTTATCCCTCAGTGGGGAGGGGTAGTCATCCTAAATCCTCCATTATCCAACATCTCAGAACTGCAACACCCACCTCACCTTTCCCGCGAGGCCTTAAAGCCCGCCATGGATACGTTTTCACACCAACTCCTTACACTTCTCGGCACTCCTACCTCACCACCATCTTTACCACTACGTCTTCAAAGCCTGATCCGGATCCATACCGCATCGCTCCTCTTGTCGGCGTCATCTACAATGGGCTCCCTTGCGCGCCTTACGCTCTCGCTCCCCTCTATACCCATCCCTGTCACAGTCGCAAATTCTGTCTCTCACACGCTATCCCACCTTTCTTCTACCTGTGAAATGCTACACCAAGGTGCCTTTGAATCAGCCCTTGCTCACGCTAGGGTTGCTGAAAAGGAAGCTGAACGCAGCTTTTTTGAGAAAAGTATGGTTGGTCAAGTGTATTTCCCAGACGAGCATAAAGTAGCTGTGTATCTTCCACTTTTAGGACCAATCGGTGTTCCGTTGGTCCTAGGGCTGATTAAGGAGATAAAGAGAATGTTGCTTGGTTAAGAGATTGAGGTTGTGATTCGGATACCCAAATATATACGGCTCCCGTATAGTAAATAGTACACAAATAATATAAGATGCTAAAAAATACTTGTTAAATTTCTAACTCGAGCTTTAGACATGTCATGGTTTATAAACCAAAATTAAAATGAATATATACAGCAGAGACCCATAAGGTGTATGTAGGACTCTATGTAAACTTTTAACTGCGCCTAGCCAGTTACTCTTTCTCAGGATCAAAAAAGACTAGTTCCTAGCTATATTTGCTTTAATGGACTTCCTGTGGAAGATTTCGAGATTGGTGGCGGCGGTGTATTCGAAACGGGGTAGCAAGGACTTCCTCGGCCATTTTTAAACCCAACCCGCTCCATCATTTCGGTGAAGGTGGTTGGCGGTCTTCCGGATGCAGTCAAGCCTATTGGAGGCTTCAATCGATTCTCATTTCCCAGGTACACAGGGCTGTACACCTTGATGCTTTCAGTGCTGGACGATCGTTGCGGAAATGCCCTGTTCTGTGGTGTCACTGGCACTGGCGGAACATCTGGAGGCGGCGGATCTGTTATGACAGAAAACTTTGGAGCAAAGAGGCTCCTGACTCGATCACTTGTACGTTGAATGCGTGACCGACGGTTATTGTTATTTCCAGACTCGTAATAACTTGCCTGTTGCCGTAGGAAGTCGGTCCTAAAGGAATCTTGTGCACTGGACGGCATGGGGTCTGATATCGAGATCACAGTACCGTCCACAGACTTTTGTCGATAATTTCCGGCGTTAGGATGCAAGGCTTGGGATTTTTTGGCTGACTTTTTCTTTAAGCAACTGAATATCACGCTGATAATAATTCCGCAGACGATTCCTGGAACGAAGCCCGCTGCGATCGCGCCAGGTGGGAAATTATTGCATTTTTGCTCTGCAGCTGGGGAAGTCGCTGGTGCCTCTGTTGACGTGGGTTTAGATGTGGAGGACGGAGGGGTTGTTGGAGAAATCGATATCGAGGCTGACGGGGCGGGTTCGGGAGATCGAACGGGCTCTGAGGATGCATTAACGAGCACACAGCTCCGATCCTGGCAAGCATATCCATGTGGACAGCACATGCTCCCGCATTTTGGTAGATCTCCCGTCAACTTTGTGGTTTTGATGGAGCTTCCTGGGTCTACCGCGACGTTTTGCAGTTGAACGTCACACGTAATTGGCCGGATGGTCTTGCAGTCAGATCCCCTGGGGCAGCAGATAACTGTGCTTGCATTGTCTATAACCAAGCAGTCGGAATTTTCTGAACAGCAGAAGTTCTTGGGGACATTAGGATTTCCACATTGTACGAAGCCTGACTTTGCACATATCTGTTCCCGAGGGAAAAGGCCAGGCACCGAGCCTAATCTTAAACTGCTAGCTGTACCGCAACAGTATAATAAGGAAAGGTAAAGCGTAACGAATAGTGATTTCACCATCGCAAAGAACAGTGTTCAAATATCGAAGATTTGGTGAGATATTTTGAGTGGTAAAGATATATTAAATATTGCCAACGGAAACATAAAGAATGAAGACGGCGAGGCAGTGAGTTCTGTACCAGCAGAACCAGAATAATTAAAAGAATATAAACAGCTTATATATGAAGATCTCTAAAGACAGAGTTCATGAATGAAGGGGTATATAGTGAGGAGGAAACAGCAGGAACATTTCAGAAAAGGACAATAGAGGAGGGGAGTTCCTGGAGTTATATGGCTATAGCCCCTAGTTAAACTCTCGCCAGAATTGGGCCTTTTTAGAATCTTCATCAAGGGTCTGTCCATGGTCTTTTGATGGTGGGCGGCTAGAGGTTGACTCTTTTCGAGGCCTTCCTCCGCCCCCTGACGCCCTGAAGAAGTGGACTATGCAAGTATGCCTGCCAGTAGGTCACACCGGCCGGCGCGAAGTTGAAACTTTTTTCGTATGACCGCAACGAGCCCGGCCCCGGGGGAGACCAGCAGAGAACGGGAGAGCATCGAGTTCCATGTCCGCCGGCTCCATCGTCGATGGTTGGCCTGCAGCTCTCCGCCTCGCGCTGGCTGTTGCTGTTTTGCTTGCTTGGACGTCTCGAGTTGTCGCGAAGTCAAGTGCTCCTCGCGCCCTGATTGGCTGAAGCTTGCTCCGGCCGGCGCTAACTTTGGAGAAATGTTTTTTCCGCGTTCCGGGCGCATTTCTTCAAAAAAGTTCCCAAAAAGGAAAGAAGGTCAGGCAAGTAAAAAAGGTCGAAAAGGCAGCGTTTTGGTTGTTGTTGTTGTTGTTGCGTTCGTTGATACGCCGGCTTTGGTTTCAATTGAGAGTGCTTTACGGGGGAGGACGGCTAGTCATGCTTTTCCAACGGTCAATACGGCAGCAGGCTGGTCTGCTGGCCTCTGCATCTCGGGTTTGTCTAGCCATGTTCCTCTAGGTTGCATTGCATTGAAATTTGAGCATCTACTAACTAATGCGGATATATAGTGCACCCTACGGCCCCAGGTCCAGAGCAGATCTTTCCACCGTGTCCCTCAGTTAACACACGGCACCCATTTCCAAGAACATGGCGTACCGGGAGTCCTCTCTCCAGAGGGTTACAACCTTGCCTGGGTACAATACCAATCGTACCTCGTGCAGAAACTCAATATGCTCACCGGAGGTTAGTTTTTGGCTGGCACTCGTCGCTATAGATGGGGTATGGCAGATTTGATTGTGGAAGCTAATCATGACTTAAAGGTACTGCGGATGAGAATGTCGGACCAGGAACCCTTTTGATCAAATACGCTCGCCAGGCCAGCATGGCTTCCCTCTTCAACTACGCCTCCATGGCGCACAACAACCATTTCTATTTCAATTGTCTAGTGGGTTACCATTTCTACCTGGTCGATTTTTCCTTTTATTTTGGAGCTGGACTCTAACGCAATTGCAAAACACAGTCACCTGAAACCGTCCCAATCCCAGGAAAACTCGAAGAAGCCATCACTGAATCATGCTCCTCCGTCGAATCTCTTAAAGAAGAATTCATTGCGACTGCCAATGCCATGTTCGGACCTGGATTCGTTTGGCTAGTGAAGATGAAAGATACTGCCCAATTGAAGATCCTAGCAACCTATATTGCCGGCTCCCCATATCCTCAAGCACACTTCCGACGTCAGCCAGTAGACATGGCCACTCAGACTACCGGAATAACTGGCGGTGAGAACCTAGAGGCTGTTGGGAGAATTGCATCCCGAACATATGGTTCCATGGGACCCTTCGCACAACAGAAATACCTCGCTCCTGGCGGTGCTGATATTCATCCCATTCTCTGCGTTAACACTTGGGAGCACGTATGGCTAAGAGACTGGGGAATTGGTGGAAAAGCCGGATATCTAGAGGCATGGTGGGATAAGATTAACTGGGAAGAAGTTGCTCAGAATTATAAGCAAGCCGGGCCGGAGTCATCATTTGACACGAGTAGGAAACAGAAGCCGTTCGGGTCGCGCTATTGATGGAGTTCTTTGGATGCTTTCTATCATGTATTATACACCTGTTCTTATATTTAACACTAGAAAACGGATATATACTTCTCTATCCTCTGGACTCCCATGTCCACCCAGTTGCTATGATATCTAAATTGTCTAATGCCCCAAAAAATAAACTCCCAAATGCGACCCAAGCGAAGAAGATATATATGCAGATACTGTAGTTTCACCTCCTTCCACCTTCAATCATCCGCTTTTCGAATGCTTCAATCATCAACCCGGCCATTTGGCTCTCAACTGCGGTCATCATAGCTGCATGTAGAGGGCTCCGGAATTGAAAGCGAACAGTCAAATCAACTTTGGTCCTCTCACCACCATTCGAGTTCGATTTTAATGGCTCCAATTTCCAAATGGTGTCCAAATGCTCAAATATGCACTCCCCCTTTGTGTTACTGCCTGGCTGCTTGTGTTGGAGAGCTATATCACCGCTCCTAGCTCCCACAGACCACGTCGTCTCATCACACTCAACTTTTGACTCAAAGGTTTCGCTAAGTGGCCCGTATCCAATCGTTAGATATGCGCGCGTAGGATAGCCGGTTTTGGAGTCATGAGCAGTCACTTTTGACTCTGTAAGGAAGGGGAGGAAATCTTTGTAGGCATCGATGGAGGAGATTGTTTGGAAAAGAGGCGACGGCCCAAATGGAAGCGTTCGGGTCGCTGAAAGGCTGCGTGGTTCGGGCGCAGAAAATTGCGGTGCAAGTGAGGATAGCGAAGGGAGGTTGAATCGTCTCTTCTGGGATATTATAGCCGGTCTGGCTGAGAAGGTCGTGTATTGCGACCTGGCGGCCATTCTCAGCAGCGGCGTGAGAGGAGGAGCTACCCGCATAACTTCGGGATTGGTACACAACAGGTAGCCCGGGTAAATTTCTAAATATCAGAACAGAAATAATTAGCATTAAACCGTGGTTAATTGTATAGGTGTGCCGGCGTTACCTGTTGATTGTTATGCCACAATTGCCAGCGTTTGAAAGTGAGTGTTGTAGTTCAAATTTAGTGCCGGCAGTTCGCGATAGTTAGTTATACGAACATGCAAACTAACAAGACCAAGGACGGGTCATCAAGTAAAAGGGACTACAGAACATATAATATTTATATTGATCTCCAAAATATGGAAGTCTAGAGTCAAGGCTAACAAAACGCATTACCCAATAATTTCCGCATTCATGCTGACTTTGCCCTCAAAATTATATATATTGATTTTTGCGCTCTCTGGTGTATCTTCAAGAACGATGCGATACTCCTCGTCAGCATATAAAGGATGTGTCGCCCTGTACTTGATGCGTTCTGGAATGATTAATTCTGGGTCCTTATCCCCCCTATTACGTGTCTCTCTCCAAAAATTTAGCATGGATATCAAGTTCAATGGTCCGTGGACCACTATGTTTCTATGCCCTTCAACGTCTTGTGCCCAGGGCATTGAGTAATGTATCTTGTGAGGATTGAATGTAAGCGCAGAAAACCGAAATAAGGTCACTGGTGACTGTTTCAAGCTAAGAGTGTAGATATTGTTTGCTGAAGTTGTAGGAATAGGGGATTCCGGTGAATTCAAAGTGTTAGCGACAGGGGATATCTGCTTCGAGGGTGTGTTCCCTGGAGATGAGGCCTTGAGAGCTTTGCGAAATACCCAGTTGCTGGAGTATGTCAATTAGCCATCACACCCAAGTACACACGCTCCTCAATCAAAGGCGTGGCGCCGCCACCGGAGGCTTACCGTCTATCTATCAAAGCAACTCCAGTTTCATTCTCGAAGGTCTTTTCCACACCAACAACAATCATCTCATCTCCAGTTTTCTTGATAACCTTTGGTTCTGCGCTTAGAAGCTTGGTTGTCTCCGTCACTATTTGACCAACCCGGAGCAGATTTGGCCGTTTATCACCTTTATCCCGCGGCCATATCATCTCTCCGCCAGCCCACATCCTTCTTGTAAAAGGAGGGTCTGGGTTGTAGGATACGTCCGTCCCATCAGGCCCTAGATGCTCCTCTAAAAACTGAGGAGTAAAATAGACCAGATGATAGCCTGGTGGAACTGGAGTCCCCATAGTTGGCACTGATGAGCTCTGGTTTGCTGTTTGAGAGGGAGGAAAAGATAGCGGAGGATATCCTGGATATAAGTGGTTCCTGTTCAGCGTTAGAGAAAGAAGCTGTAGCTGATTTGCGTCCAGGACCTGTGTCCGCTTTTGAGGCCCGATGGATTGGAACTTGGCCATAAATTTGCCAGCTATGTCTGCTGCAGTGTCTCCTTGCGCATCTGTAGAGTGCGGTCGAGCGAGATACTGGGTATCATGTCTAAACGCTGGGAACACATGGACAAGGCAGGTATTCGCTGAGACTGGGCGAAGGACACTCCGTTTGGGCCAAAGCATCGCCAATGGAATTAGCTATCTGCCGATTATCAGTGTAAGAGAATAGTAGATTTGTCCCTAAGCCGAGCTTTAGTGATTGCTGTCTGTTTTGGCGTTCGGAACCCGGAGAGCGACGTCGCCCGTTGTTGTTCCTGTCGGCATTTCGTGTTGATGATCTTCGGCAACTCAATTCAAGCCTCGGCACTGCAAAAATGCCTTAACTATCTGCGTTAACTGATGATCTAGTTCTATCATCGCCTCCTTAACTACTTGACGGCTCTTGAACGATGGAAAAGAACGAAGGAACTCTATGGTATATAGCAGCAGCACATAAGGACAATGTCTATCAAAACAAATAACTTAACCATGACCATGTTCATCAAGAATCGAAAGCATCGCGCCGCGGTAGCTAAAACAGGCGGAAGACAGCACCCGGCAGTCCACTGTTCGGAACGAACAAAAGAAAGTGAGAACAAGATATAGAACAAGAGCCGTAGAAAAAGAAGGGCGTAAGGAAAACAACAAAAGAAGGAAAGGAAAAATCCAGTTAGTATAGTCCAGCCGTCAATCCATGATTGTAAATGTAGCACATGAGTTTCTAAATCCAGTCCATCCCATTCCTTCCATCCATATCTATCGTGGTCCAGTCATTATCGCATAGCAAAGAAAAGAAAAAGTAATAGAGACAAGTCTGTAGTCACATTGATTTGTGACTGGCATGAAAGAATATTGTATGATTGTTTCGACTCTTGGTTAAAAGTAACCAAGTCGTGTGGCCTCTCGTTTGAGGCCTTCGTGGATATTTCTCAGGGCTGGGAATTCCGCTTCCAAATTGCGAAGGACCCGTTCACTTCGGTCCTTTTTAGCTAGTAATAAAGTACCCTCTAGTCGTTGTATCTCATCCTGGAGAAGCCTGTGAGAGTCGTACAGGGATAGTGAAAGGACTTCTTCAGAGTACTGACGGAGGCGAGTAAGCTGTGTCTCAAGTGCGGGGATAGTGTTCGTAGCTAACGCGTTTGGGTTTGATGGTAATGCCAGTGATGTTGAACGGGGAGTTGAGGTCGATGTGGCTAGGGGTCCACTGAGGAGCGTATTGCTTGGGGCGCCGGAATGGTGCTGATGCTGAGTCGTTGGCTGTTGTCTGGAGTTAGGGAAAAACCCAAATGAAGGGGGAAAGTGGTGCGGCTGCGTATTATTTGCCTGGTAGTGATGCTGGCTATATGGTTGGGGCTGATGATGTGCCTCAGGCTGTGTCATCAAAGCCATGGTGTCACTGTTGCTATCGCTTCTAGAGTCCCTGTCATACCGAGATACGTGTCCGATGGCAGTGCTACTTGGGAGGGAGGAGGGCTCTAATTCCCTAGTGCTTGCAATAGTAGCTAGAGTGGCCATTCCACCATCATTTGACATCGACTTGCGGGACACGGTAGAGGGTGAGGTCATACTTAAAGGCCCGCTGGAGTAGGAACCACCACCCTTGAGAGGGGGGAGAGATAGTTGGTCGTCACTGGTTGAAGCCGTCTGCGTTATGTAGTTTATCCCAAGAAGGGTCTTGCCAGGAGGTATATCAGAGCAGGGCTTTGGGGTGGTATCGCGAGAAACAACTGATGTTCTTCTCATCTTAAATCGGTCAAGTGATGAGCCATCCGAAACTGCCTCGATAGTAGAGTCCCTTCTTCCATGAAGGAGAGATAAGTCGGCCAATTCAGGGGTTGAGAGTGTAGGAAGGGTGATGGCAGAAGCAGTAGCACGGCGGGGCGGTGCGGATATGGGAGATGGCTGAACTGTCGAGCATGATGAGAGGGGCCGTTTGGGATGTCTGACAGCGGGTGGCGATGTGAATGCAGGTGATGCTGGAAGGGCTGGCGTATTTCGCTGTGCCAGGCATTGCCCTGATCAGCCACAACTTTCGCGGAGCCTCTATGGAAGACGATTACTTACCTTTTTTTGGTCAAACACATTGTCTGTAAATCCCATATTTTTCCCCCGCGGATCTCCAGGCCGAACTCTGCGTTTTGACGCGGGCTTTTCAGCTTTGACGTAAGGGGAAACGAAATGGCAGCACTAGGGGAAAGGGTCTGTTAGTTTATGCTTTGTATAATTTTGATACCAACCAGACCATAGTTAGGCAGTTCTCTGACGAAACCTGTCCAGCCTGATGCCCCAGTAGCGGTGCAGGAATTGGGGAGACACAAAACGGGGGGGGGAAAAAGAAAGGAAAGGGGTGTCTTTCTTACTCGACAGTTACAACTCTCTAAGCATTTTGGACATATCCATAGTCCAGGATGGCGCATGACATCTGCAGATGCCATATCAAAGTGACGATACAGTCCCCGGTAGCAAAAGAAGGCTGAACACTTATCACAACGTCTGCCTTTCCATTCGAGATGATCGCTCCGACATAGGTGGCACAGTTTCACTGCCATGCTCTGTCTAGCAAGCATCAATTCGTTTACCGCCGTACCTAAGGTTTTGCGCTGATCCGGAATACGGGATCCTTCAGAGGATTGGCTTATGTTGTATCCAAGTATAGATTCTGCTCTTTGTACAACACGCGAGCATATATCTTGCGGAACAATCTCAGCCCATGAATAGCTTGAAGGGTGCTCGCAGCTGCGACCGCTCAGATAACACATGAGACAGAGGTCAAAATCCAGACATTGGTTGCAGCGTAGATGACGGTTCCAGATAGCGGTACCACAAAAATTGCAGGTTGCTATGGCTGTCTCGGGTATAGGGACAAGCGTCACTGCTGTCGCAGGACTGCCGTCGATTGTCTCATCCTTTGCCATTTGATTGAAGAGTCTTGTCAACAGGGGTAGATCTGGAGGAATAATTGCATGTTGATCATCACGAAGCAGACTCAGCATGGCGCAGGCCAGTGAGAGATTCGATCGAGCGACATCCGGATGGCATAAACGGTTGAAAGGAGGCTGGACATAGTGTAGGCCAGCATCCAGGGATAGAGGATGTAAGATGTTCCACACCACTTTCGTTGAAACTTTCCCAAGATTCCAAACCTGGTGTGCTGTTGCAGGAGGAAAGACAGCAAGGTCTCCAGGCCATTGTTCGCAGATGTAGACAGGAAAATTTGCTTTCTTAAGATCCTCTGGTCCCAGATTCAGCCAGTCGACGTGGGGTGACGCACCACGAGCCGCCATGAAGTTATCGTATTTTTGTTGCGAGCTGAAATCAGTTCCAAAGCAGAGAACCGGCCGATCTAGGCCCGTAATATCAATAAGTGTTAGCTCAAGGCTGCTGGTGTTACCGAAAAATTGGTCAATAGAACAATGGGGAGGAAATCTTTACCACCATGGTCAACCAGCAAATTCAAAGCGACTGTCGAGGAAAAGCATCGGTGGAAGCCAGATCTGTGATCGAAGTCAGTAAGGGAGCAACAGGGAGAAAAATAGTATATCCAGGTTTAGAGGTAGAATACTAACGAGGAGCCTTCGGAGCCAACATAGGCCATCATCACCTCGCTGCGGGCGCATGATGGCAGCCATTGAAACAGGTCCAGCCTGCCACTCCATTGAACCTCAGGAGGGAGTAATCTTCTACATTGCTCCAACCAGGAATCCGGGCAACGCAGGTCTCGAGCGTAGAGGTTTTTAAATTCCCGGTAAGATTGTCGAGATGCATCGGCGAATTTCTTAAGGGTGAAGCTGAGATCTCTGTTCGTGCTGCAGTTCCGAATAGGAATATCTGGCGGGGAGTTGAGCTGGTTAGCAGAGATGTTCTAATAAAAACAGTGCCGCAGAAAAATGGTACGGGAGATTACTTTTCTTTGTAGAATGTTCAATTAAGCCTTCAAGGGAGAACAGCCTCTTATTCCATTCAGGTAGTTTATCAAAATCTTGTATCACGAACGGCTTGCCGTCTTGCAATCTTGCTGAAAGCCAACCAGAAAAATAGTCTGTAGTATCTTTCCCTAACTGCCCAGTATTCGTCCCTGGCGCATTCGGTTGAGATGGTGCACCCCCCTCATCCGGCTTTTCATATGCGAAGGCAGCCTCTTTCTTTATATCGAGTATGGAATATCGGGGGAATTCAATGAAAGGTTCCCCGTGAGCAAGTAGCTCAGCAGCATTGACTGAGGTAGGGACAGAAGTATCAGAGGTAGACATTCGGGCCAGCGAGCCATTGATATTGGTGCTATTCGTTGGCGGAACGGTCATGGTCTAACGGCGCGAGATGCCGCATTTGCGGAAGAAAAGAAAGAAGAAACTTGGGAGGTGAAGGGGGAAAGAGTCCGAATGATCAACGTCCCATTAAAGGCTGCAGCTAACCCGGGTTTTGAGCAGTGGATTTGGCAATACCGACGAGCTAAAGAGTCAAATGCCGGGTATATCTCGAGATCGGAATAACTGGGCACAACAGGAACAAAAATAAGACAAAAGGAAAATGGGACTGCGGTCTCGAACCTTGTCAGATTAATTCAAATGCTATATACTGAGACAGGTAGTTGATCAGAGAGAGGACGAGCGTCATCTTCAGCCTGATTTTCGGGTCTTTTTCCTCTCTATATTTGCTTGCTGAACGGGAGGGGGGGTCGAGTGGGATGTGCGGACGGGATCTATAATTGAATTCGTATCGCAGCGAATGCAAGCTGCCAAAGCCTCTTACCATGGAAAGAAGTCCAGAGCCAGAGATAGCGCATATGAGAGACAATCATGGAAGCCTGCTTTTGCAGCTTGCAGAATGCGATTAGTAACTCGCTTCTGTTCCCTTTTTGCTCCATTCAACCTGACTCCATACTTTTGCACCAGAAAACACAGGTATAATAATCAAAAACCCTGTCCCGGGGAAGCAAATTTGCGCTACGGCCTGAAGTCCCATTGGACTACGGGAGATGTAATCCGGCTCCACCTGCCATCATCGTGCAGCTCGCGGTGGCCAGTTGGGCGCTGCTGTTGGGAAATATGGGCACATCCATACAGGTTCGATGCCTGCGGTGGCTCACAGCCATCTGCAAGGCTTATTCTCTGGTCAAACCAGGGGGCTGAGGAAACAAGAAAGTAAAAATAATAGGTCGATGATGAATATATGTGAGTATATAGACACCAGACAAGGCCGGACCGATAAAAGCAAGGGACCACGAGCAGTAGCATGGCATGGCATGGACACCTCACGAATAACTGCCGACCGGGGGGGTGACAGGGCCCCCCCTCCTCCCCCCTTCCGGTTTCTCACATCCCTCCTGTCAGCTCGAAGGATCTGATGGTAGCAGAGACCCCTGCCTTCAGCGTGAGGCTCAAGAAACCTTCCAATCTGCTGGAGAACACGAGCACAGCATTCATGTCTTGCTCGAGTACTCCGTCCTGCGGTTCTGTCGAGTCGACCAGACAGGAGAAAAAGAGGGTACTCCTCTGTCATAGGCCATGCCATAACCAGTAGGGTATTATTTTTTTCCATTCTCTTTTCTTTTCCAGGCCCCTCAGACGGGGTCCCTGTCGAGGGCTGCTGGGCCATTCTTCAGCTGGCCTAAGCGATTATGCACGACACAGCTCTGATGACGGACGTTGCCTTGCATCTCCGAGGATGCAGATGCACACGGACTTGGTGTACGGATGTAGAATAGTAATCACGGCTGCCAGGGATCGGCTTATAAGGGTCCTCAGTCTATACCCGTCTCCAGTCAGCAGAGGGCTGTCACGTAAAGGGGTTGACGTTGCTACTTTGCTTGCTCGACGTCGCGTTGGTTCGTCGACGCCGCGCTGGCCTGAATCATCTCCATCCATCCATCCATCCATCCCGCCGCTCACTTGCAACTTGCTTGCTGCTGGATGGCGCCGAGCTGCTCATCATCTTGTCAGCTGCAGGAGACGTGTCTTGTAACCTGCTAGGCTGGCTGGCTGGTCCGGCCCGTGGCTGCAGGCCATCCCGCGGCGCAGAGTTGTATGGGTTTCGAGAAAAATTTCAAATCGCTCCGACTGATTAATCGTAAAGTCAGAGAGAGAGAGAGAGCGAGTGTGTGTGAGAGAGAAAGCGACTCGGCGGCTTTTCAGCATGACAGGCGTCGATGAAACGACGGCCCCTACGGTGGATTTGCAGCGAAGTCTTAATTTTTTGACAGTCAAACAGCGGTTAACTAGTTATTAATATGATGATATTTGTTACATTTTCTTTTTGGTCACTGCCGTGCATGCGCCCTGGCTCTCTCTGCCGGTGGCTGCTAGCTATCTAGTTAAGTTCCCGTCTCTAGTTATCAAAACAGCATAAAAAAACAACCATTATTATTCAAGTAAAGATGATGCCGCCGGAACTCCCGTATAGATCGATCTGAAAAGAAGAAATAAAAAAAAAAAAGAATAAAAATAAAAAAAGGCATCCACAGCTTTGCGTATCATAAACCATTTCAACCTGTAAATAAGGGAGACGAGAAACGGGTAGGAAGAAGAAAAATAACGCCGTGGCCTCTTATAACCAAGGATTCAACGCCGATGCTAAGTTTGGAATAAAAAGGAGGAAAAGAAAAGAAAAAAAGAAAAAGATAACATCCATGTCATCAAGTAGTTATGTAGGGATATGCTGAGACATGGGGACGATCGAGATGATACGTGGTGGTGCAGTTCATCCTTTGCCCCTGCGTGGTGGTGCAGTTCATCCTTTGCCCCTGAATGCACGCAGGTCTCGGAAGAAGCATCCTAGATTAAAAACGGTGGTGAGATCGAGAAAATATTCTCAGCCTCAGACATATGGAGGGAATCGCATTCAAAAGGGCATTCGTTATCGTTTTCGTGAATCTCATCGGACAGAAATGAGGTTGTACTCTGGGCCAAAGAATGGGGGGCCTTCGTCCTCTTCTTCAGGGGTATTTTTTTTTTTGTGTACTCTGGCTGTGGGGGTAACTTAGGTACAGCCGTTCGAAGATCAAACGCTCATCCTCAGCTTGACCGGCTGACTGACTACTAGCTGCTCGAGTCTTTGCTGTAATTCCAGAGATGATGCATCTCCTTCACCCACCAGCTGGTAACCTCATCGGCCTCCTTGAGCCACTGTCTCGCAGCCGCGCCGTGTTTGGTTTTCACGGCGGGGAGCAGATGGTCGATTTTCCAGCCAGTAAGGGTGTCGAGCTCGTTCGGATCGGTGCGGAGATCGCTGAAGATATACTGCGACTCGCCGTCGAGCGGGACCACAACTCGCCATGGTGTTGAAGCAGACGATACGGAGATCATCTTCCCGCCTGCGTTGATGACGGCAATGTTCCAAGCCTGGCGCCCTTTGTACTCTGATCTGAAGGGACGGATAAGAGACTGTCCCTGGTAGTCGTGGATAAGGTCTTGGGCGATAGAAGTATCATGGGCATCGAGTGAATTGGAGTTCACGAGAAGGTCGAGGATCGTAGGAAGAACGCTCATCGAGGTTGCGTTGGCTTCTATGTTGATACGAGGAAGAAGCGGATGGCGGAAGACGATAGGGATCCGGAAATTGCTGATGTGACCGTTCTGATAAGTGCCTTGGACAGGAGAATCTTCTTCGAATGCTTGTCCGCTGCGATATCACCAGTTAGCATTTCGTCTTTGCACAAGGTTGAGGAAAAAGGGAACTTACTGGTCTCCCAGGACGACAACCAAAGTCTCGTTGGCAATACCCTTTTCGTCAAGCAAACCCAATATCTGGCCCAGCCAGGCATCGTCGTATCGCAAGGTGTTTAGATACTTATTCATATTTTCATGGTCTGCGTTTCCCTTGGAGCCAGTGTACTTCTCGCGGTTGAATTCATATGGAACCTTCCATGGATGGTGAGTGGTACTGGTGAAGTGTGAGAGGAAGAGCCGTTCGTTTTTTTCCAAAGCCTCGTCAATGGTATCGCTGATACATGGCTTCATTTCTTCATCGGGGTATCTAGAGTGGGTAAGTGTTAAAGCCAGCTTCAATCATTACTGCCTACTACGAAAAAGGACAGAAAGGGCTTACCCGAAATAGTTGAGCTCAGCGTGCTTGGGAGGGTAGTACTTTGACGTTGGATCCGTCAAAGTCTCCTTGACAATAAAGTCCGACAGCCCGAGCTGCTTGTTTAACCGGCTCTGCCTATCATACCCATCTGTGGCCGCTTGTATGAACCTGGATCTCCATTTGCGCTTCTTGACATGGGGCACATTATTGGGTGCGCTGTGATTGTCCGCCGCTCTCTCCTCGTGGCCTTCCTTGGCCTGGTTGAACAGATTCAATATATGAGGAATGCATGGCTGGTAGACGTTCGTGGTCACCTCTTCCAGGAAATCAACCGGCAGCGGATGGACTCCACAGTGGCTGCCTAGGAAGCTTTTGGCAGACAGGGTGCTTCCAGTCACGGCACCCTTGACGTTGAGGCCCCCCATTCCCAGAGCTGCGGAATCTTTCCATATGCCGTCTGGGATTCCAAATGCAGACTGATTTGGCTTGAGTTTATTCCAGAAACCCTCGCCAGTAATCTGATGGGCAACCGGCGTCAACTGTGAAAGTAGCTTGTTCTTCTCCTTTTGTTCTTCCTCTTCGTTAGAGTCGATGATAGCCTTATGCACGAATGAGCCTTCCTGCATAGGGAACATGTCTTTGCGTGCACTTTCCATGGTGATCAGCAACACATGCGAGATGAGGACGGATTCATTCCGGAATACCTCTTCCAGGTCTTTGTATACCCCAAGATCGAGGTTGGTGATGCGCATAGGATCCGCAACAGGATTGTAGTAGTATGTAGTCGAGACAGTCTTGTTGCACTCCGTGCTCGATGTAGCATTCTGTTCCTCTCCAGATGGTTTGGCCCATCGAAAGAACCCGTCTGGAAGGGTATTGGGGAGCCATTCTGGGCGGCGGTTACGGTAGCTTTTGATCATATCATTATCTGGGCCTGGCGCCCAGCCTTTGAAATTGCCATTTGGTTGCTCCCAGTTGTCCGGCGTGGTGAGGTTCACAAGCGGATAGGCCGCGACGTGTGGTGAACATTTCTCTGCATGTGAATCCGGATGCGAATGTGAGTGAGGCCTTGAGAACATCCGTAGCATGGCTACTGGGATAGTGGTTGACATGAGCCCATAAGGCGTTGGCGGCCGCAAGATCTGCAAGATGACCAGCGTCACAAAGATCACAACCAAGCACACGGGCTTGACTCTGATACCCCCTTTCTGTGACTGCTCATTCTGGTTTCGCACCGTTGGGAGTACTGCCTCCCACTTGGGACCCGTGAACATCCTCCAGACTCCTGACATCCAGTATCCAATCCTGTTGTAGAGGAACGGTGTCGAGATCCAGCCCAATAGCAAAAGCACCAAGCCCGAGACTGATACTTGGAGGAGCCCACTGAGCATTATACGTATGGCAGCAGGATCCGAGGCAACATTCCTCGCATTATCCCACTGCATCTCAGTTCCAGTGACATAGTAAAAGCCGATCTGCGACGAAGCGGCCAGAAAAGTTACCGCCCTATAGAATAGCCGGTTAGCAAACGGCGCATAACATAGTTATCATATAACTGTGTGATGAGAAATAGGTATGTACGCACGAGAGAAAGCTCCCCAGCACCAGGCCTAGGGCTGGCAGAGCACCGCTGCCGCCGCCATGGAGTAATACCCGACCGACAAGCGCAACCAGGCAATCTGAAATGAATAGCGTTGGAAGGAAGACGATGAAATGTAGTAGCGGGACCGAGCCCGCGAATTGCAGCAGATGCAGACACTTTGACGCTATGAGCGAGACGACCAGCAGCGAGAATGCAAGGGCACGCGATGGCCGAAATGGAGGGATATTCATATTTAGCAAGCGATAGACAACGCAAGCCGCCAGCCCATCCTCTGGAGCGTCTGCTATAAGATAGAAGAAGGCGGATACCGTGCGGCGTATATTAAGCTGGAGCAGAAGCAGCAGAGGAGGAACTGTACGAGAAGCAAGAGAGGAAACGAAGGGGAGGGGAGCGAGATTCGGAATTATAATTAATGACAGAGACGCCAAAACTAATAAGACTTCGCAGGATGAAGGGAAAGGGAAATGGAAAAAAGAGCAACAAGTGGTAGCGTTAAAGAGGAACCTCTCGAGCCAAAAATCTCGAGTGCCCAGGCGGCGACAGAAGGCCCTGCTGCCGCTGCTGCAGACAACAAAAAGTGGGAGGGTTCTATTAACTCGGTGTATGGGGTCGCTTTCACTGTTCTCCACCAGCGTAAGTAATCTCAGACAAGGCGTTCCTCCCGTCAGCAAAAGTAACAAGTAGTTGTTGGCGCGGGCTCCTTCTCAGTCAGCGTGCGTGCCAGCACCACCCGCTGCTCGTCGTCTTTGTCAGCCAATGCTCTAATTGACGGCGGCGGTTGACGGTTAGCAGTCCTAGTGACGACGATGACGCTGATGACGCTGATGAATATCAAAACGGGTTTTGCCTTTTGCCTGGGAAGTTTCGCTGCGTCGAAGCACGCGTCCCATGTCCCGATGCGGCTAGCCTGCGAAATAAGGTCGGCGGCCTTGGCGTCTTTAAATTTCTTATTTCGTCGTCGCCGCAGCGCCGCGGGAGGGAGGGAGGAGATATTAATAGACGTCGCAGCAACGAACTCCATGAGGGCTCTCTGGTCCTGCTGGAGAGAGCTACGGGGAGAGGCTGCTGGACGGCGGAGCAGAGTATGCGGGCAGCGAGGTGAGTCCGCCGGGAGCGGTGTCTCAAAGAGCAAGCGAGAGAGAGAGAGAACTTACGAGTTGGCAGGGAACGACAGGGGGGCTTCCCTGCAGGGCCTGGAAAGTAACTAAGCGGCGCCCAGACCGACCAACTTCTATTATTCCCCGACGAGCCCAGAGGGTGAGAGGATAACTAAGTCCCGGGCGAGGGGGAAGGAAACCAGCTCACGGCCCCATGTTGGCTGACTGACCGCGGGCGAGGTCTGCCTGATCCGCAGCGAGCGCAGTGCCTGTCGACGAACAGCAAGAGTTGGGTGCGTTGGCCACCAAGGGGGATCATCGAAAGCCAGCAGGATCTTTAACTAGCTAAGCCTCTGGTGAACCGATCTCTTGGTTTAAGCAAGGTACATGACGATATGCGATTTATTTTTTTTTTACGATGGAGTAAATTAGGCGCCCGCCCTTGTGGCAGCCATTTTTGGCTCTGTCCGGCTGAAATTACGCACCCATGGTCAGCGATGAGACATGTCCACGCGTTCGAGCCCGGTCGATTACCTTTACCGTACCCCACCGTCACCTAACCTTGCCCAGAGCGCGACTAGCGTGAGCTTGAAAGACGCTGTTGGGCTGAGCTGAGACTCCAACGTTGCAATATCGACTCTTATCGAATACCTTGCCTCTTTTCCATTTGTGCGACTCGGCTGCATAAATCTTGGAGCGTGAATAATATGTTGTTTTGTCCTTCCTACACGGTTACTCCATACGTGTTTAGCTTGATGTCCGGGTCTGACAAAGGCTTAGGGTGTTATCTAAAATACAGGGTCACCGCGGTTACGATGGTATGATGATCATGCCATGTTACTGTTTACATCAGCGCTGTTAATGCCACACCTGCCCCACAGCAACTACTCTCCAAAGCACGGAGTCCGGAGTATACGGAGTTGCTAAACCAAGGGGCTTGTCAGGCGTGGTGGTACGGAGTAAGTTGTACCTGGCGTATATGTGCTGACAGATGTATGGAGTAATTATATGGAGTATGATATGTTGATCAAAACGAATTAAAGAGAATTACTGGCTGTTCAATATTGATAGACATCGCCTGACATTGCCGATGACTGGAGATATCAACACCTGTCCTTTAGCATGACATGCTGTGGATCTAATCCCGAATATATTCTTGACTGATCTGATGGCCAACAGCCTATCTCTCCGATCTGCTATGTCGGAGGAGAAACCTACACACATGAGATTTATATATACGGAATATATACCCTATGACCCTGGGTTTAATGAGTGGCCTGTTGATTATATAGAGCATACGCGGCGGGAATATTCTTTGGATGAGGCTCTTTTTGAGTTCCTTTGGAGATGCTGAGCACCTCCAAAGTTTACTTACTCCCCCCTACAAAGGGAATTTTCTTCGACCATATATATCAGCCGGATCATATGGCTCGTCTGCCTGCAGGCTCTCTTCTGCATCCTTTATAACAAGTAAAGGGACACATTATTGGTGCTTCATATGAAGCCGGAGAAGACAGAGCCTACTACGGAGTACTGGCCCTAATGATAAACGCATAGAAAACATATCAAATACCCCGTCCGGCGAACCCTGGAAACATAGCTTGAGCGGCCCGAAATGCTCCGCTACGGATGAAATGGATCGACATTGAACTGTCTGCTTGACGAAGCGTTTATTCTCAACTCATATCCCGTCGTCAATAGGCCATACGGAAGATAACAAAGCCCTGTGACTGGTAATTCAGGCTCGTTTCTTT